AATTCCCGGCAACCACATAGTGACTCAAAACCACCTTGAAGGAGATCTGGTGACTTTATACATAATAAATAAATAAAAAATCTTTAAAAAAAAACCCAAAAAACATAGATGTTTAAAAAGAAAAAAAAAAAGAAAAAAGCACACTTGCTGGGCGTTGGTGGTGAGCAACCACCAGGGTTCTCAGGTCCCTCTGAGAACCTCCACTTGTCCATAATCATCACTTCCCAACATACATAACATTTTCTTTTCCTTTTTGGAAACAGGAATTATGTACCCCAGGTTGACCTCGGACTCTCCACTATCCTCCTGCCTCAACCTCCCCTGTGCCAGGCACCACTATACCCACACAGTGAATTTAGTCTTAACTGTTCATCTTCTTCCTTGTGTTCCTATTTCCCACTACACTCTCAGTCCTACACAGTCAGGCTTGTCTTTTCTGCTCATGGCTTTGTTCTCAGTGCCTGACACACACTCCGCACGCACGTTAGGAATCTTAAGCTCAGAATGAGCCGGGGGTCTTCCTGGGAGGTGGAAGGAAAGGACAATGGCTGGGGAGGCCAGAGCACGTTAGGAATCTTAAGCTCAGAATGAGCAGGGGGTCTTCCTGGGAGGTGGAAGGAAAGGACAATGGCTGGGGAGGCCAGCACCCTTGTAGAGCCACAAGCCTTTCAGGGCTCTTGTGTGTAACTTGTAGATGTCACAGTAAAGGGCTCAGTAAGCTCCCTCCCCCACTACGACGTGGTTCCCACTCTAATTTGATGTACGGGTTTTTCCATGCAGGGTTTCATTTCTTTGTCACACTAACCCCAGAGGCAGCAGAGTCCCTATTTTGGCCTGTGAGAAGCAGCCCAGGTAGCCGGGAGACTCCACGAAGAGACTACATTTCCCAGGAAGGCTGCCACAGCGCTGCAGCTCTGGGATTTTAAAGGGCCTCTCACTAAATCCAGCGCTGGTCTGAGTAGGGGGTGGGGGTGAATGGATAGGAGTGTCTGGTGGATAGAAGGCGGCACCAGATAGCCACCTGTGAGGGGATTGTGTGGGCCAGGAGGGAGTCACCCAGCCTCCTTCCTGGTCCTGCAGTACTATCCTGGGGCAGCTCCTTTCATCTTGACCCTCTTGACATCTCCCAGAAAAATCTCCCCTTTCCCCTTAACTCCCCAGAAGAGTGGGGAGGTAGAGCTGTTAATCTCATGCCTCAGCGGGGGATGCCCCCACCCAGTCCTTATATTCTGGGAGGTAAAGATGTTAAGAGCTGTAAGAGTAAATGAAAGTCTGGGGTCTGTGGGAGTTGAGCCTCATAACACAACGCCTCTCCTCTCCTCTCCTTCCAAGCCCCAAGGTGTCCAGGCAAAGGTGGGTATGGGTCACCCTCCCAGGAGGGATCAAGGAACTAGTGGGAAGCACCTTGCCAGATGTAATGGACTGAGAGAATAAAAATCTTCTACATTGTGTCATCCGATTCATTTGGTGTGTATTCTAAGGCATGCATAGACCTGGGGTGGGGTGGGGAGAGCAGTACAGCATCTCTGAGGTAAGTGCGTTTGAATGCCTTCTCCAGAAAGTTCTTAATGGAAACCCAGAAAATTGGCTTTCAAAATAACACAAACAAACCTACCAGAATAGGTTTTCAAATTAGGAAACTTCAGGGTCACTGACGTCATCAGAATTAAAAAACCTTGACCTTTTGAACTAAGCTGGCCTGTGACAGCAGTGCCTTCCACCTAGGTAAGCCCGTGAAGGCACAGGCCTTGGTTCTTCCCCTCCCCTAATTGTTTGGACTAACCTACCGGGTTGAGGTGGGGGAAGGTTCACTATCTTGCCCTAGCCTCAGGGACTCCCAAGCCCAGGAGCCTCCTTCCCACGTGACAAACAGCCCACAGCCCCATCAGGCCTTAGCAAAGGTTCATTCATCTACATCGGCTACAGTCACCCACTCCCAGGTTGCCATTTAATTAAACAGCTATATGCCTTTTTGCTAATAAGACCACTGGGGGCCAGGCAAGACCACCAGAATCCTGGCATTTTGAGGAGGTAGACTGCAGACAAGACGTCCCAGGCTCTCTGGGAATCTCTTCGACTACGACTCCCAACAACCCCAGGTCGTACTGCAGACTGTGGCGCCCCTTGCTAACTTCATTGATCTGTGCCAAGCAGGGCTGTTAAGATAGATGCATTTTATAACAAAGGCATGGCATCTTCCCAGCAAAATGGCGGTGGTCCCGACCACGGCTCCCTGATCGACTGCATACCTAAGTCACCACCAGAGAAAGGAGGACTCTCTCCTCGCCCCGTTTTTCCAAATCTCCAAAGCACACAGAGCCTCTGCTCATCCCAGGGCCCCTGAGGACAGTCTCTGGTCAGCGCCTATGGGACAGCGCCAATGATGTGTACCGCACCCCATCTGGCACACCCTAAATTTCAAGAGGCCAGTGGGAGAGGCGGCTCCACCCCCCCGGGTGGACCTCGTGGTCCTGCTTCGCACCCCCAAAACTCCCAAGCTAAGAAGGCATGTAAATGAACTCTTAGGTTCGGATATATGCAAGATGTGGGGGTGTCCTTGAAGAAAGTAGGGCACCCAGGAAGCCAGTCCCCGTCTCCCAGGGGTCCCAGGAAGCTTTGGGGGCTCGGGTTCAGGCAGGAATCTCCATGCAGCGATCTGGGGGCGCGTCGAGGGGAGAGGCGACTCAAGAGGGGGAAGGGACAAAGTTTGAAAGAGCCCTTCCAACTCTTCCAGGGAAAGTTTCCTTGAAGGCCCCGGGGACAGAGAGGGGTTAGGGGTGCCGGGGGGCCTGTGGCCGGGTGACCCCCAAGAGGTGACCGGACCCCGGGGAGACGACCCCTCCCCCCTTGTCCCGACTCGGCCCGGCTGGGAGTCGCCCAGCTCGGGGCGGCGTGTGTTAGTTGGGGCCGCTTCTGCGCCGTTCCGCCAGGTTGGGGGACCCCGCAGCGGGTCGGGAGTGGGAGCCCTGGTAGTCCCAGGGGTGAGCTTTCCTACAGGGGGTCTCAAGTCCGGGGGCTCCCGGGCCCCGCAGAGCCAGCCCCCCGCAAAGGCGAAATGTGCCGGCGCCTGAGCGCTCCTCGGCGCAGTTTGGGGCCCGTGGCGGGCGCGGGGGACAGCGGCTGGGGCGCCTGGGTCCCCAGCGGGGAAGCCTAGGGAGCCAGGCAGGGACTCCGAGAGACAGCGGGCAGCAGGAGGGCCTGGAGCGCCGGCAAAGGTCGGGTTTGCTCGGCGGAAGAAACACAGATGGCGGCGGCGGGGGGGGCGGCGGGAGGGGTGGGCAGGGGGGGGGGTGCCCCCCCGCGCCGGGGAGGACAGGAGCCACGCGTCGCCCGCGGCCCCGGCAGCCGCACTTTCGTCTGGCCTGCTAGTCGAGCGGGAGAGCAGATCCCGATTCGGGTCGTGCCCAACCTCCCGCGAGGACTGGCCCTTCGGAAGGCTCTCTCAGCAGCAGGAGCAGGCCGGCCACCATGACCGAGAACTCCACGTCCACCCCTGCGGCGAAGCCCAAACGGGCCAAGGCCTCCAAGAAGTCCACCGACCACCCCAAGTATTCAGATATGATCGTGGCTGCCATCCAGGCAGAGAAGAACCGCGCCGGCTCCTCGCGCCAGTCCATCCAAAAGTATATCAAGAGCCACTACAAGGTGGGTGAGAACGCTGACTCCCAGATCAAGTTGTCCATCAAGCGCCTGGTGACCACCGGTGTTCTCAAGCAAACCAAAGGGGTAGGTGCCTCGGGGTCTTTCAGGCTGGCCAAGGGTGATGAGCCCAAGAGGTCGGTGGCTTTCAAGAAGACCAAGAAGGAAGTCAAGAAAGTGGCCACTCCGAAGAAGGCAGCCAAGCCCAAGAAGGCTGCCGCCAAAGCCCCAAGCAAGAAACCCAAAGCCACCCCTGTCAAGAAGGCCAAGAAGAAGCCGGCTGCCACGCCCAAGAAAGCCAAAAAGCCCAAGATTGTCAAAGCCAAGCCGGTCAAGACAACCAAACCCAAGAAGGCCAAACCTGTGAAGCCCAAAGCCAAGTCCAGTGCCAAGAGGGCCAGCAAGAAGAAGTGACAATGAAGGCTTTGCTTGTGACACTCCTTCCTCCCTCCTGTTTTCTGTAAATACATTTCTCTCTTGATCTCATCTGCAACCCTTTGCCCATTTTATTCTGACTTTACAGAAAGGACAGAGTTTGGATTCCTCAGACAGACATTGTGGAGCGATTCCCTTTTCCTTAACCCATTGTGCAAGGAAAGCCTCAGACCTCATCTTTGTAATGATGAAGATGTACTTTTTTTCTTAATTTGATATTTAACCTTATGGGGTTAGGGTTGGGGTGGGTTTTTGTTGGGAGGTTTGTTTACTGTGAAGGCAAATGGAACTGGTAAAGTTCTGGCTAGATGAGGGGACCTAGGAAATGAAGTTTGTCCTTTTTAAGGCTGTAAGTTGCTCATCCATCCCTTCTGAGAGCTTCAAAACCTTTGGTGCAAAGCAGAGGATGACACTCCACCTAGCTGGCCAGGGAGGGGAAAATCGCTCGGCTGCCCTCAGCGGTGGTGAGCAGTTGGGGACCTGGGGTTTCTTTTCACATATGCCCTAGTGCCTCCCCATTGTCTAAAAGGGGAAAGGGGTCCAAGTGACAGCTGGTTAGAGAAACCATTGCTTCTCACAATCAGGATCTAGCCATTGGGGAAGGGGGGGGGTCTTTTCAGCAGTCTCTTGTTAAATGGGAGTGGCATTAGGGGAGGGTGGGGAGTCAGCCAAGTGCCTCAGTGTGCCTGTGGAAACTTGGGTTTTTTCCACACGATTGTTGAGAGCTGTGTCCTAGGAGAACTTTCTTCTTTTCTTTTTCCTTCCTGTATAAGATGTGGCTTTGCTTGGTGCTGCTTCAGTTCTACCAGCTACCACATAAAACCCCTCCAACCGCTTTTACTTTTGAATTTTTTCTAAGTTGCCGAGGAGGGGGAGAGGCAGGGAGTGGACTGTAAGGCAAATGCAGTTTTTTAATTTGCTGTAAGACAATACAGTTGATTTTAGTTTGCTAGGTAGCTTTAGAGAGCCAGGATTGTGTGCATGTGTGTATATGTATATATCCATATCTAAGACTAGTACTTAGTCTCACTTCGGGAGCTGGGAGAAAAAAACCTGTACAGTTGTCTTTCTCTTATTTTAATAAAATAGGAAACTCGCGTCCCTTCCCCCTTTTTAAACAAGTGTTATAATTGCTGGGAAAAGTTGCTGTGGTTGTAATTTTAAACTTTTAAAATAATAAAACTGGTAAAATATCTGAGTGGTGCGTTTCCCTCAACTGAAGGAGAGTAGATGGGTTACGTGGGGCAGAGCTGGCGCCACGTTAGCGCCGGGAAAAAGCGAAGCTTTGGGGAGAGGCTGGAAGGGCAGGAGGCGGGTCGGCTAAGTACGGTGGTGGGTCCTCGGGAGAGGTGAGTGTGTGGGGAGGGGATGCCCTGAAGCCACTTCCCGGCGCGGACCTCCTGGGTTTTGACTTACAAATGAATCCACTTTCGTTGCCTGTAAGCCGCGTCAGGCTCCGCCTGCCGACGGGACCTCCTCACCAGCCTCTTAAAGAAAGCTCCTATTGCTCTGATTGGTTGTCGGGGCCCTGCCCACGCCACATGACAGGGAGAGCTAGGCAGCTGGCTGGCAGGCGCATTCATTCCTTCCCGTGGGCGAGATGTGGGTCAGCAGCGTGTGGCGCGCGACGCTGTCACCCGGCCGCCGCGCGCACTCAGCGTTGGCGCAGCTGCGCGGCATCGTGGAGGGCGAGCTGGAAGGGATCCGCGGGGCTGGCACCTGGAAGAGTGAGCGAGTGATCACGTCCCGCCAGGGACCGTGCATCCACGTGGATGGTATCTCCGGAGGTAACTTCCCCTTCAGGTGGCCAAGAGCCCTTCCAGGGCTTGCATGTGAATGGAGGCCTTAGGGTGGGTGTGGGGGAAATACAGGCATGCATTGCTGCTGTCTCCTTCCAGTCTGTCTCAGGCACACTATGGCGCCCTAGAGTTAACTCCACCTGTTTAAACCTGTTTCTGTGGAGGGAAGTGATCTGCTCGTCAGCACCTTTTGGGCGCCGGGGGCTGTGCTGCAAAGAGACCCAACCCTGTGAGAAAAAGAGAGAGCTATCCAGCTGCATTGCTACGCCCTGCTTCCAGAAAGAGTGATTGGACAAAAACCCTCATTTATTCACTGTGTAAAGGTTACCAGTTGCTACACCTTTATTCCTGATGAAATATGCACGAGAAACCAGTTCTTTTTTTATTTTTTCTCCTTAGTTTTTCGAGACAGAATTTCTCTGTGGAGCCCTGGTTGTCCTGGGATCTGCTCTGTAGATCAGGCTGGACGTAAACGCCTGGCCTGCCTCTGCTTCCCCAGTGCTGGCATTAAAGGCTTGTGCCACCAGGTTTTTTTCCAGACCAGGTTTCATTGTGTAGCCCTGGCTGTACTGTAACTCGATCTGTAGATCAGGCTGGCCTCGGACTCACAGAGATCCACCTGCCTCTGCCTCCAGAGTGCTGGGATTAAAGGCGTGTGGCTAGAGAGACCAATTCTCATTGAAAGGATGCAGGCCTTTAATCCTAACACTCAGGAGGCAGAGGCAGATGGTTCTCTGAGTTCCAAGATAGCCTGGTCTAAAGAGCTATAGTGCTCCAGGGCATTCAGGGCTACAGAGAAATCCTATCTCAAAAAAACAAAACAAAGAAAGATAAGAGAAAGGAAGAAGATGAAATGCAGCTAGATTTCTCCAGAAATCTAGGGAAACACTGGCTAGCTCCAGTGTCACAGGATATTGGGGTGGAAGGCCAGCTTCCACCAGAAAGGTTAAAGTTTAAGCAAGTAAGAGGATTAGGTCTGCAGAAGTACCTGTGTCTGCCTGTCTTCTCCTAAAGAGAACTAAAGAGTGAACAAAACCTTTGGTCAGACCATACTGCTTTCCCCACGTGATTTCAGAGAGATATAGTCAACAGGCTAGGGTGTGATTCAGGGGCACAGTGCTTGCCTGGCACACCTAGGGCTGTGAGTTCAGGTCCCAGCACTCACACACCACATGCAAAAGATGGGACATTTAGAGAACCAAGTTCTTAGGCTCTTTGTGCCCGTCCCAGATCATGAGCTGTCCCTTCCTCAGGCCTCAATTTCTTTGGGCCAACTGTATAAACTTTTTAAGATTGATAACTGAGATCTCTGAGACAGCCCTCTGGAGATGTGACTCCTGGGCAGCAGGTAAGTGAGCATTGGAGGCCTCTTTCACAATCAAGAAAAGCAAAACCAAGATGGTGATGGTTTTGGAACCTGTGAGGAAGGTCTGGGACCCTCTCAGATGGGATGCTATTCATAGCCAGGTTTTAAACATCTCATCCTTCAAAGCAGAGAGGGACAAACCTCTCCTCACCTTCCTGCACTGTGGCAGTGGATTCAAAGCCTCTGGCCTCTCCCCAGAATGGATCATGTGTGCAGCTGTTTGCCTGTCAAGGGCAAATCCAAGTTGACTTCTCTCTGGCTCCTGTCCTGGGTCCTGACACTGTGGTCCTTGCAGGCTCTTCCTTGCTTTTCTGAGACATATTGTTGGTCTTCTTCACACAGGAATCCTCAACTTCTGTGCCAATAACTACTTGGGCCTGAGCAGCCACCCTGAGGTGATCCAGGCAGGCGTGCAGGCTCTGGAAGAGTTTGGAGCTGGCCTCAGTTCTACTCGCTTCATCTGTGGCACCCAGGTACACAGCAGGTGTTGGGCGGCACTGACCCCAGCTGTCTGCTTCCTGTCAGCAGGGCTGGTTCAGCCAACTGAGCTAATCCCAGGGCGCACAGGGCCCACTGCAAGGCTGGGGCAGGCCTCTTCTGAGAAGCCTGGGACCAGGAACGTGACCCCTGAGCTCCTGTTTCTCATCTGTAGGACAGAACACCAGCCATTCTGCAGGAAAGGGGCAGAAGGCAGAGCTGGGGACATGGAGGGTTTAGAGGTGTCTGGTTTGGCAGTCTCCAGGATGCCATGCACATGCTATGCCACTGAGGTGGTGTCTTAGCCTCCCCATTTTACTCTCTGTTTTGTTTTAAGACAGGGTCCCAACATGTAGTTCTAGTGGGCCTGGAACTCCCTATATAGACCAGGCTGACCTCAAATCACATGGCTCCACCTGCCTCTGCCTCCCCATTGATTTTAGATTAAAATCATGTACCACTCTGCCTGGCCTTCCTCTGTCTCTTCATCAATACAATGAGATTATAATACTTGGTAGGCTTGTTACAGGTGGCAGTTAATACATGTAAAACTGCTTTAGAATGGTCTCTGGTCCACAGTATAAATATTATTAGATACAATAATATTAGATACAATATTAGAACAGTCTCTGGTCCACATATAAATGGTAACTGATTTGTAAATGGTATAAAATAAGTTAACATAAACATGAAGTTCAAAACTGTCTCAGGAACCCTTCCCCCATCACTGGGTATGTATTGCAGTACTCCAGAGTGCCTTTCCTCCTTAATGCCCACTCCTAAACCTACACTGAACCCATTCTTGTGCCAGTAAGGTGACTCTGCAAGTAAAAGCACCAGCTGTGTCAGCCTGCCAACCTGAGTTCCATCCCCAGAAGCCACAGTCAAAGAGAGAACTGGTGCCCAAAAGTTGCCCTCTGACTGCCACACATGTGCACACACAGACACATAATTTTTTTTTTAAAGAGAAAAAAGCTAGCAGAGCAAAGGTATCTTTAATCCAAGCCCTTAGAATGCAGAGACAGGTGAATTTCTAAGTTGGAGGCCAGCTAGGTCTATAGAATGAGTTCCAGGATGGCCAGGGCTATGTCAAAAAACAAAAACAAACAAACAAACAAACAAGAGCAAAGAGTTAATTTTAAAAACAGTAACTTTTTTCTTAATAAACTCCCAACTTTTCTTTAAAAACAAAACTTATATAGTGCCTGCTATGTTCCAGGGACTCCTAGGGACACCACAGCTGCCAGGAGTGGTGGTGCACACCTTTGATCCCAGCACTCAGGAGGCAGAGGCAGATAGAACTCTTTGAGTTCGAGGCCAGCCTTGTCTACAAAGTGAGTTCCAGGATGGGCTCCAAAACTACACAGAGAAACCCTGTCATGAAAAACCAAAAAGAAAAAAAAAAAAAAAAAAAAAAACACACACCAAACAAATTTAAAGTTTAAGCAAGTAAGAGGATTAGGTCTGCAGAAGTACCTGTGTCTGCCTGTCTTCTCCTAAAGAGAACTAAAGAGTGAACAAAACCTTTGGTCAGACCATACTGCTTTCCCCACGTGATTTCAGAGAGATATAGTCAACAGGCTAGGGTGTGATTCAGGGGCACAGTGCTTGCCTGGCACACCTAGGGCTGTGAGTTCAGGTCCCAGCACTCACACACCACATGCAAAAGATGGGACATTTAGAGAACCAAGTTCTTAGGCTCTTTGTGCCCGTCCCAGATCATGAGCTGTCCCTTCCTCAGGCCTCAATTTCTTTGGGCCAACTGTATAAACTTTTTAAGATTGATAACTGAGATCTCTGAGACAGCCCTCCAGGGCTGTGACTCCTGGGCAGCAGGTAAGTGAGCATTGGAGGCCTCTTTCACAATCAAGAAAAGCAAAACCAAGATGGTGATGGTTTTGGAACCTGTGAGGAAGGTCTGGGACCCTCTCAGATGGGATGCTATTCATAGCCAGGTTTTAAAAATCTCATCCTTCAAAGCAGAGAGGGACAAACCTCTCCTCACCTTCCTGCACTGTGGCAGTGGATTCAAAGCCTCTGGCCTCTCCCCAGAATGGATCATGTGTGCAGCTGTTTGCCTGTCAAGGGCAAATCCAAGTTGACTTCTCTCTGGCTCCTGTCCTGGGTCCTGACACTGTGGTCCTTGCAGGCTCTTCCTTGCTTTTCTGAGACATATTGTTGGTCTTCTTCACACAGGAATCCTCAACTTCTGTGCCAATAACTACTTGGGCCTGAGCAGCCACCCTGAGGTGATCCAGGCAGGCGTGCAGGCTCTGGAAGAGTTTGGAGCTGGCCTCAGTTCTACTCGCTTCATCTGTGGCACCCAGGTACACAGCAGGTGTTGGGCGGCACTGACCCCAGCTGTCTGCTTCCTGTCAGCAGGGCTGGTTCAGCCAACTGAGCTAATCCCAGGGCGCACAGGGCCCACTGCAAGGCTGGGGCAGGCCTCTTCTGAGAAGCCTGGGACCAGGAACGTGACCCCTGAGCTCCTGTTTCTCATCTGTAGGACAGAACACCAGCCATTCTGCAGGAAAGGGGCAGAAGGCAGAGCTGGGGACATGGAGGGGTTAGAAGGGTTTGGTTTGGCAGTCTCCAGGATGCCATGCACATGCTATGCCACTGAGGTGGTGTCTTAGCCTCCCCATTTTACTCTCTGTTTTGTTTTAAGACAGGGTCCCAACATGTAGTTCTAGTGGGCCTGGAACTCCCTATATAGACCAGGCTGACCTCAAATCACATGGCTCCACCTGCCTCTGCCTCCCCATTGATTTTAGATTAAAATCATGTACCACTCTGCCTGGCCTTCCTCTGTCTCTTCATCAATACAATGAGATTATAATACTTGGTAGGCTTGTTACAGGTGGCAGTTAATACATGTAAAACTGCTTTAGAATGGTCTCTGGTCCACAGTATAAATATTATTAGATACAATAATATTAGATACAATATTAGAACAGTCTCTGGTCCACATATAAATGGTAACTGATTTGTAAATGGTATAAAATAAGTTAACATAAACATGAAGTTCAAAACTGTCTCAGGAACCCTTCCCCCATCACTGGGTATGTACTGCAGTACTCCAGAGTGCCTTTCCTCCTTAATGCCCACTCCTAAACCTACACTGAACCCATTCTTGTGCCAGTAAGGTGACTCTGCAAGTAAAAGCACCAGCTGTGTCAGCCTGCCAACCTGAGTTCCATCCCCAGAAGCCACAGTCAAAGAGAGAACTGGTGCCCAAAAGTTGCCCTCTGACTGCCACACATGTGCACACACAGACACATAATTTTTTTTTTAAAGAGAAAAAAGCTAGCAGAGCAAAGGTATCTTTAATCCAAGCCCTTAGAATGCAGAGACAGGTGAATTTCTAAGTTGGAGGCCAGCTAGGTCTATAGAATGAGTTCCAGGATGGCCAGGGCTATGAGAAACCCAGTCTCAAAAAACAAAAACAAACAAACAAACAAACAAGAGCAAAGAGTTAATTTTAAAAACAGTAACTTTTTTCTTAATAAACTCCCAACTTTTCTTTAAAAACAAAACTTATATAGTGCCTGCTATGTTCCAGGGACTCCTAGGGACACCACAGCTGCCAGGAGTGGTGGTGCACACCTTTGATCCCAGCACTCAGGAGGCAGAGGCAGATAGAACTCTTTGAGTTCGAGGCCAGCCTTGTCTACAAAGTGAGTTCCAGGATGGGCTCCAAAACTACACAGAGAAACCCTGTCATGAAAAACCAAAAAGAAAAAAAAAAAAAAAAAAAGAACACCACAGCTATCAATCCATTAATTCCCTTAACAGTTCCAAGCAATCAGTGCTGTTCTTATCCAAAGCCAAAAGAGACTAAAATTATCCAAAAGCACAAACCTCATAGTGGGACTGGAACCCAACCAAGTACATGATGTAAGGGTCTACACTCCTAGGCCAAGCATGGTGGCACATGCTGAAGAGAGGCAGGGTGACCTTTCTCAGTTAGAGTTCCAGGCTAGCCAGGGCCATGGGGGCTCTGCTCCCTCCACCCTTTTTTTTTTTTTTTTTTTTAATTGGTTTTTCGAGGCAGGGTTTCTCTGTGGCTTTTTTTGGAGGCTGTCCTGAAACTAGCTCTTGTAGACCAGACTGGTCTCAAACTCACAGAGATCCGCCTGCCTCTGCTTCCCAAGTGCTGGGATTAAAGGCATACACTACCACTTTAAAGAGAGTCCATGTTTCTCACTATCCTCATTGAAAGTGAGGACGAAATGAACACAGGCAAGGAACCCCTGCCTCCTCTGTTTTTTGTTTTTGTTTGTTTCAAGACAGGGTTTCTCTGTGTAGTCCTGGCTGTCCTGGAGCTGGCTCTGGAGACCAGGCTGGCCTCAAACTCAAACTCAGAGATCTGCCTGCCTCTGCCTCCTGAGTGCTGGGATCAAAGCATACTCTGTTTTCTTTTCTTTGATTCTTTCTTTTTTTTCTTTTCTTTTCTTTTTTTTTTTTTTTTTTTTTTTTAATGTTTTTTTTTTTTTGTCTCCCTCTTTCTCGCCCTTTTTTTTTTTTTTTTTTTTTTTTTTTTATTTTTTTTTTTTTTTTTTTTTTTTTTTTGATACAGTGTTTCTCTGTGTAGCCTCAGCTATCCTGGCTCTGTAGACCAGGCTGGCCTCAAACTCATAGAGATCCACCTGTCTCTGCCTCCTGGGTGTTGAGATTAAAGGCATGCACCACCACTGCCTGGCTCACACTCAGTTTTTATGTATTTATTTTCTAATAAAACTTTTGAGTCAGACCAAACAGCTCCCAAATCTAAGACGTATAGCCCTAAATAAACATAGGCTTACTTAATGTGATCCCTCTTTGCTGTGGAGAAAAATACAGTCTGATGTGAAGACATATCTTCTGACCCCAGCATCACTCAGAATCCAAACACTAGACAGACCCCCCACTGCAGACAAAGGTCCACCGAAGAATTGAGACCTGTCAGGCCTCATCCTCCACAGCAGGAGCAGCTGCTACAGTCCAAGGCTCCAGGAGTCACTCGAGTGGTGCCAAAGGAAGGGTGTGACTGACACTCCAGGCCTTCTGCACTGGGTCTGTTTGTGATTCTCTAGGACTTGTCCGGCAAAGCCCACAGGCACTTACCATCAACCTGCCTGTATCCTTTAGAGCATCCACAAGAATCTAGAAGCCAAGATAGCCCATTTCCACCAGCGTGAGGATGCCATCCTCTATCCCAGCTGTTTCGATGCCAATGCTGGCCTGTTTGAGGTATGTAGAGGCTGTGGATGACTTGGAGGTGGGCAGCTGGGAGAGTGTGGTGGAGTGTCAGTGCCACAGAGCAACCTATGTAAACTGGAGGGAAGAGGTGAGGGGACCTGGTACCGACCTGAAGTTTTCATTTGGCCCTAGGCACCCAGGTAGAGGTAGAATTTTGCCTTGGGTGATGTTAATAGGGAAGGGGAATTCCTGGGTGGCTATATAGGAACTCCTCCCCGCAGGCTCTGCTGACACCCGAGGATGCTGTCCTGTCAGATGAGCTGAACCATGCCTCCATCATTGACGGCATCCGGCTGTGCAAGGCCCACAAGTACCGTTACAGTCACCTGGACATGGCTGACCTAGAAGCTAAGCTGAAGGAAGCTCAGGTGGGTCGAGGCCCTGGAGCTCCTGAGAAAGGTCTATATTCTCATGCTCAAGGAAATTAGGCTTGGAGGGGCTCCCTTTTCACAAATAGCCTGAAGGACTGAAGGAGCTATTTGCACTTCATCACCCTTTGTGCTCAAAACTATTCTATAGTGGTGAGGAACAATATTGAACCCACCCCAGATAGGCTATTAACTGGTAATTTATTGGGAAAATATACTCACACGAGGAATCAGTAACCAGATTTGGCACTCCAAGAAGTCTGGTCCCAGGTGCTTCCAAAAGCTGCCTGAACCCAGAGAGAGAGAGAGAGAGAGAGAGAGAGAGAGAGAGAGAGAGCACGAGCCTGGCTGCTCCTCACCCTTTACCTTCCCCTTCTACGTGTAGGTGTCGGGGTCTCTCCCTACAATTCCCCTTTTATTCTAAAAGGGATTTAAACTTGAAACAAAACTAAATTGTGTACAAAATGTCTTAACATATGTAAGAGCATACATCATCTTAAGTAAAGAGAAGACTTTACACAGTAAGATGACTTGTGACCTACAAATTATACATAAGTTATATCATACAAGGATCTATAACAATGTAAGTTGTCTATAGTTAACAATCACTAAGGTGAATCACAAGAAGATATAATAATCTATCTGCATCTCATGAACAGCAGGTGTGTGGATATGTGACTAGGACCTGTCCCCACTCCAGCCTGCCCTCTTGAGATCTGGGTCAGGTTGGGGAGGTCTGAGCCCCTTATCAGGGCCAGGGCTCAGATGGCTGAGCTTGGAGGAGATGGACAAGACTCAGGATACAGCCTCAGGGCAGTAGAAGAGCAAGTGGCTTGGTCCTACTACATATCACCTGCTCTCCTTTGTCCTGCAGAAGCACCGACTGCGCCTGGTGGCCACGGATGGAGCCTTCTCCATGGATGGTGACATTGCTCCTCTACAAGAGATCTGCAGCCTCGCTGCCCGATATGGTGCCCTGGTCTTTGTGGATGAATGCCATGCCACTGGCTTTCTTGGGCCCACCGGACGGGGCACAGATGAGCTGCTAGGCGTGATGGACCAGGTCACCATCATCAACTCCACTCTGGGGAAGGCGCTAGGGGGAGCATCAGGTGCCTACAGAATCCTGTCTGTGGGGTCTCCTTCCCTACACACAGGGCCTGCCTTGTATGGGGTAAAGACGGTGGGGAGGGCAAATGGAGGGGAGGGCAGTATGGACTAGAGGAGAGGTTGGGGGCAGTTCCTGGCCCCTGACTAGCTACTACTCACATTACTTTCTATCTTCAGGGGGTTATACCACAGGGCCTGAGCCTCTGATATCCCTGCTACGGCAGCGTTCTCGGCCCTATCTCTTCTCCAACAGTCTGCCCCCTGCTGTTGTTGGCTGTGCTTCTAAGGCCCTGGACCTGCTCATGGAGAATAATGCCATCATCCAGTCTATAGCTGCCAAGACCAGACGGTATGGTGCCCACATGGTTGGAGCAGAATGGGGGAAGAGATGGTAGCTGCACACCTTTCTACCTCCTCTCGCCCACATCCCTCTTTTCCTCCCCCCCACCCGTCACAGCACCCTTCTCCAATCTCCTGTGCCCTTCTTGTCATTCCTACTTTTCCACCTCCCTTTGTCCTGCCTGCTTCTTTCTGCCCCTGCCTGTGCCTCACCTGCTCTTTGGTCTGTACTTCTCTGTCTTTATCCCTTCTTCTCATAGGTGGGCATAGATCCTGGGCCTCTTCTTCTGGCTTCACAGCCTTCAGCTACCTGTGACATTCAGCTGTGTCCCCAGGTTCCGCAGTAAGATGGAAGCTGCTGGCTTCACTATCTCAGGAGTTGATCATCCCATCTGCCCTGTTATGTTGGGCGATGCCCGGTTGTCTTCTCAAATGGCAGATGACATGTTAAAGAAAGGTAAGAGGACTGGGGGCAGTGTCCTCAGAGAAAAGAACACCTGTAGACTGCAGAGCCTCCCTAGACCTGTGGGCCAGCCATCTGTCCAAACATAACAAACCCCAGACTACGAGGTAGCACCATGTCTGTGAGCTCAGCAGCTCTCTTATTCTTGTGGGTGGATCTTGGGACAGCAGACCCTTATGTGTCATGGCCCCAAAGCCTGTCTACCTCTGTGTGCCTTTGCTATCTTCTCAGGCATCTTTGTCATTGGATTCAACTACCCTGTGGTCCCTAAGGGCAAGGCTCGGATCCGGGTGCAGATCTCAGCAGTACACAGTGAGGAGGACATTGATCGCTGTGTGGAGGCCTTCGTGGAAGTGGGGCGGTTGCATGGAGCTCTGCCCTAAGCTCTGGGTAGGGACCAGCAGAGCCAAAGTCCCTCTACTGCCACAGTGACAAAGGGGTCCTAGAGGCTCTGACCCAACCCAGACTTCTAGAGCCTGGTTGAAAAGACCTCAAGGGCCTGTCCTTGTGGTTGGAGAGACAACAATGTGAAAATTGGTCATAACACTTTGTTCTGCTTTATTCTTTCTGAGTAAGCCCAGTCCTGTGGCTAACTGGTGAATCAGGCAGGAACTGGGTCTCCTAGGGCAGTCCCCCACTTGAGGTGATTTCTTCTCCCAAACTGAGTTGGAATCCTGCATCTGGGAGTTATCATTTGGTACAGCCAGGTTCTGAGCTGCTGTGGGGCAGCTGAGAACCAGCTCCGTGGACCCTTGTCTCAGTCTAACCTTGGTGACTTGTCTCCTGTGCCCATCAGAAGGACAAAACACCACTGCCACATAGGAAGGGCTCCTGGACCTGTGTTTTGGAGAGGACAGAGGATTCAAGTCCCAAAGAGAAGAAAGCAGGCCACCACTGAAGGACATCTAACGTTGTTTTCTAGAGTTCTTTGTCCCTAATTCCATGGCCTTAGGCCCCTGTGCATGTCCCAGTTTCCCCCATTTTACAGAGCTGCTGTTTCATTGGGAGCCACACCTTCTGTCTCTGGTTCCAAAGCCTACAGTCTGATGGTCAGCCGCCAGAGGGCGCAGCGAACTCAGACTCCATTCTCTGCCTGCCCCGCCTTCTTGAGCTGGGGGCCTTGGACCAGGCTGTTGGGCAGCCTTCAGGCAAGGCCAGAAGGGCTGGTTTACTGCTGTCAAGGCCCTGTCCTTTGTCTCACAACTACCACCTGCTCTGTTACCATAGGTGTCAGCCTCATTCCCACATTGCTGACCTGGTTTTTCTGTGGGCACTGTGGGAGGAGATGGGAGCTCTCTGCTCTCAAGCTTTTGAGTGTACCTGCAGACACAGTTTGGTGATGTGGCCTCTGGAAACTCCTTAATATGCTTGAAGTAGAACTGATGACAAAAGGCCTTGCTTTTTCACTAAAAACAGGAAGCAAGGCCTCATACCTCCAGTTCACCTGTCTGGGTACCAGGACATCTTGGGAACAACAGTCAGAGTGAGCTCCAACCTAACCCTGCAGATTCTTAAAAATGGGGAATCCTTGTTTGCAACCCAGTAGTGCTGTAAGGGTTGCAGCCTGGCAGGAGACAGTTGTGGCTACATCAAGGTCAGGCATATCTGCAGACTGCCACCGGCAGGTAGAGTACCTGATGCCAGGTATCCTGCTGGAGGGACTGTTGATGACCCAGCACCAGTTGGGGACTCAGCTTGTATTGCTAGGCCAGAAGCTTGATGTGTTGTGTTTTGTGCAGGCTGTCGGGTCATGCCTGGGAGCAGCCACTGGGTAATGTGTGTGGCATACTCAGGCAGGGCCAGAACACCAGGCCCAGGTCCACCCACACCCAAATGAAGCTGCAGGAAGTCTGCACAGCAGCACAGCACAAGAGCCGCCTCCTGCAGTGCCCAGGCATTGCTGCTGGCATCATTTCCCGAGAGGCAGCTCCTGTAGCAGCTGCACTGACCTCCTGGGCCAGTTAGCTATGGTGTCACTCCATGCTGTCAATCCGTGAGGCTCAGGGAGCCTGCTGCCCTGATATAGGTTTGGCTCGCTCACCTTGCAGCTACTCTGCCATTCAGAAGGGGTCATAGGTGTACCCAGTACACACAACAGCCTCATAGGGTGCCCGTGTTCCAGAGTGGGAACATACTGATAGTCTTTGGACCCCTGTGACAAGCTGTAAGTAAGGCATCGGAAGACTGGAGAATGCCGGGCGTTGGTAGCACACACCTTTAATCCCAGCACTCAGGAGGCAGGCCAGCCTGGTCTACAAAGCTACAGAGCAAGTTCCAGGACAGGCTCCAAAACAATACAGAGAAACCCTGTCTCAAAATAACGAGAAAAAAAAAAAAAAAAAAAAAAGACTGGAGAACCAGCAGCAGGTTGGCTGTAAGTCCTCATCTGGCTGAGTCAAGGACTCCAGGGCTCATTTCCAGGCCATACTGTCCTTGTCCTCTGCCTCAAGACAGAGGCTGGCAGGAACAAAGAAAGGGAGGAGGTAGTGGTAAGGACACCCTGAGGCTCCAGCCATGATGGTCAGTCCTCCCTGCTCCACAGCCAGGCTCTCAGTGACCTCCCTCCCCTCCCCTCCCCTCCCCTCCTCTCCCCTCTTCCTTATCAGCTCAACCCTGCTGCTTCTCAGAGCCCTTTGTCCAACCCCAGTAGGGAAGGAGGGGGTCTGGAGGCCAGGCCAGTGGGGGGCTTCCAGGTCAAGGAACTCATCTGGGACTCGGGTATGGATATGTGGGCCCCCACTTGTGCTGTGTTGTCACCCACATCATTGTCCTCACACCATGTCCTACAAGAGCCCTGTCCAGGGATCCCAAAACCCTGCCTTTCGGATCCTCAGCCCCAATAATTCCACAATTAAGCTTCAGTTCAGTGAGTCTCTGCATAAGCAGTTGGTGACAGTATAGAGGGCCCCTAAGCCCAGGCACCTCCCACAGGAACTGGTCTCCAAGAGTGTTTCCCAGTTCTTCCATTCTGGCTCCAGGGAACACTGACACACACACACACACACACACACACACACACCTCTGATGTCCCCTCCACGCTCAGGTTCTAGGACTCTTCTTCCTTCCTGACTCACAGCAGACTGTCTTCAGCCTGTCCAAGTGGCAGCTGCTCTCCTTCTGGAAGCATTTGGCCATAGAACACTCCTCCAAGGGCTCAAGGCAGCCACCCACCATCTCCTAACCTCTGGTCCCTGCCAGGGCAAGGCACTCTCAAAAGACCAAGAGTAGACATCTCTGTTCTTTTAACCTCAGCCATATCAAAGTCCTTATAAAATGAAGGCACAGGTCCTGTTCTACCTCTAGAATCTTCTCTAGCTTCCTCATGGCTTTCAGGCTAAACCAAGACTTGGTTTACAGTGGAGGAAGCCCCTGAAACCAGCTAAGGGAAGGAAATGGGTCTCTGGGGTTCCTACCTGAAATCCACAGCAAAGACACTTTGGTTCTGGTTTCCCAGCCTTGGAAACTCCATTTAAACTAGAAATCCTTTCTAAGCTTAGATCGGAGTTCTACCTGGAGTCAGGGAAGCCAGGCAATAGGGGGAGGAGTCACAGGCAGGGCCATAGGAGGTGGGAGGGGCCAGGAACGGGCTGAGCTCTGGGCATGGAAGGGTTAACCACAAAGCCAATCTCACCGAGCGAGATCAATGGGTTACTGCCCCTGAAAGAGAGAGTGAGATAGCAACAACGCAGACAGGCAGAGAAGAGCCGGACAGACAAGAACCTGGCAGAGGAGCATGCCACCCCGGGGAAATCAGAGTCTGAGAAGGAGGTTGGGCAGTCCACTCCGGAGCAGCAATAACAAGTGCCCACATCCAACTCAGCAGACAGCGGTGAGCAGATGAGAGGAGAGGAGGGGCCTTGAAGACGAAGGAAGAGAAATAGGAAGCAGAGGTACCTGCAGGGAGGCACCAAGGGTAGCGGCTGAGCTCCGGCCTTACAGGAAGCATGCCGGGGCCCAGTGCCTAGGGCTGAAGTGGGTGTTGCCCAACGTGGGCTTGGGGACCTGCTGCATGCTGGGTGCTACACAGGGGCAGATATAACCTTTCTTCTCTTCTCCCTTCCTCCTGAACCTCTTGCTCCTAATTCATCCCACCGCTCTAGTGGGCCTGGAGTGCAAGGCGATCCACAGGTTGTGAACTGTGGGGTGGGGCAGTGTGCACACAAACACGTGCACTGGGACATAGGGGAGTAGTCAGGGGTACCACCTGTTACAGTCTTTCCGATGAGCACTCCAGCAGGAGTCAGGGTCACAGCAGCCCCACTCATGCCGCCTCTCCAGGTCTCAGTTTCCCTATGTACAAAGCAGAGGCAGTGACTTCTACAGTCTTCCTAACCTTGCCACGGTGGTGCTTTCATGAGGATGGACTCTCCCACGACTCAGGGATGTCACCAGTGCAGCCAGTGGCCACAAAATGTCCCTAAATACAAGGGTCTCTCATGAACTTCAGATCTGATTGAGAACATCCAGTGTTTGTGCTGTCCCTCCCCTAGCTCTAACATCTTCATGCTATTCTGCCTGTGTCTTCACCTGCCTAAGTCCAAAGTAACCTAAATGGCCTTCCATGCTCTGGGTTACAGAGTTGTTCCCTAGGAAACCAAGGAGTAGCACTCACATTTGAGCAAGCATGCACACATACACACACACCAATGTGACTGTGACAGGTTCTTGTTCACACAATGAGTTTTAGCTTTGCTCTACCCTCTTCCATTTCTCATGAGTTAGCCCAGGATGCTTGGTCAGATCCAGGCTGAAGAAATGAGGCCCCTGGGTCAAGTGTCTGGAGCCCTGGCCTCCTGTCTGAGGATCCATTTTTCTCTTCCCCATCTGATAGGAAGATGGCTGACATCCAGAACATTTCACTGGACAGCCCAGGGAGCGTAGGGGCTGTGGCAGTGCCTGTGATCTTTGCCTTCATCTTCCTGTTGGGCATGGTGGGCAATGGGCTGGTGTTGGCTGTGCTGCTGCAGCCTGGCCCAAGTGCCTGGCAGGACCCTGGCAGTACCACAGATCTCTTCATCCTCAACTTGGCGGTGGCCGACCTCTGCTTCATCCTGTGCTGTGTGCCCTTCCAGGCGGCAATCTACACACTGGATGCCTGGCTCTTCGGGGCTTTTGTGTGCAAGACCGTGCACCTGCTCATCTACCTCACCATGTATGCCAGCAGCTTCACGCTGGCCGCTGTCTCAGTGGACAGGTGAGCTGTACCTAGGGCAGACGGCAGAGGGACTTGAACAGATAGATTCTTATTGGCTAGTGGAAGAGAGACTAGGGACTAGAGGTTGGTGGGCATAAAGGTAAGCCTCAGTGGTACCTGACCTTTCCACCTCCACTGTGAACTTCCAGAGGACATTTCTGTGTCCCAAGTGTCAGCACAGGCCTGGTATAAGGATAAAATATACAGGAACAAAAGAAACTCCAGGACCAGGTATGCTAGCAAACACCTTTAATCCTAGCACTCTGGAGGCAGAGGCAGGAGGATCTCTGTGATTTGGAGGCCAGCTTGATCTACAAAAGTGGGTTCTAGGACAGCCAGGGATACACAGAGAAACTCTGTGTAGTGTATTTGTGGGGGGAGGGAGGGAGGCGGGAAGGAGGGAAGAAGGAAGGAAGGAAGGAAGGAAGGAAGGAAGGAAG